ATTTATTCAACAAGACCTGAAACTAATCAGGAAAATGTTTACTTGAGTGACAGAGCGAGGAAGCCAAGAGCTGTTTTCCCATGGACTTCTATACAACCCAAAGAGTGTCGCCCCCTTCATGCCATTGAAAATGATCTGGGTGATAGGCACTTCTGCACTGCTTCCCTTTTGCAAGCAGAAGCTATGTATATCTTTTATACTGCTCATGCTCTATTTATATGGATAGATCAACCCTGTGGCTCTGGTGCCTTTTTAATAGTGCAGCTCAGTGTGGATGTATGCAGACGTTTCTTGTGCGGGGATATTCCTTGAAGGGAAAAAAAAAGGTAAAAGGCAACATTTGAACCACGTAAAACATTTTTAAAACCAAAAATTAAAAAACCCCAAAACAAACTAAGATGCTTCTTCAGATAGTTTTAAAAAGCTGAGTGCATCTTCTTGCATAATTAAGATAAATTGGATGTTATTTTTAGTGTAAAGGGGAGTCTGCTTTGCCACCTGACCGCACAGACCCAAAAACATGCAAATGAGCTGCTGTTTCCATTGGTATGGGATTCCGGCATTCAGAACATACTGCAGCTGTTATTATTGCTGCTGGCCGCTTTGCTCCCCTGGTGTGCTTTTGTCTGCACAGTCATTCAGCTCAGAACAACCCCCTGTTTTAGTTCAATCCTACTACTATATTACTTCTACACTCTGATTGGAGTTTTCATAATAGTTTGGGCTGCAATTGAATATTTAATTTCTTTTTTTCTTTTTTCTTTTAAATTTAATGCTGTGGGGAAAAATATCATACTCAAGGGCATAGATTTGTGTGGTAATAGTTTTAACTGGAGCTTTGAGGATCACTGGTATTGCTGTATGTTAGTGCTGTTAAATGAATGTGTTATCTGGGTGTACCATGGAGTATTAGGGAAAGTACATTTTAAAAAGGGCTATAATTTATTAAAATGATTAATACTTACTAAAGATAATGTGGGGCATTAACATCCAAGCCAGAGATGCCTTTCAAACTATTTAAACTGCATAGAAAATATTGCCAGTAACATGTTTCCACCAAGCTGTAAAAGAGGCTTGTTTACCATTATGTTACATCAAAAAGTGTCAAATGTTTTCAAAATTTAACCAGCCTTGATATCAGACAGCCCACTTTAGCCTTTCGCTTTAGTAAGGACCCATGCTCTGTGTAGCTTTGTATTGTCCTGCTGAAATAAGCAATGCTTGATTTTCTCCCTGTCATTACTCCTGAAACTCATTTCATACCCAGTCATGTTACTAATGAATCAGTTTATTGTTGTCCTACTCCCAGCAAAACAGCAAATAATTTCCTGTTCCAATATAGGATATAGTATCTTTGTACTATTTCAATTAAATATAGGGTTCAACAAGCCAGCAGTGGATCTCACGGACAAACAGAGGACACTGCATGCTCATTGGCTAACGACTTGTTAATGACGACAAGTTGTTAGCAATCACTGGGTAATCTTCCTTTCTGTCTCTTATAATGATCATAAGTCACAAACTGAACTTCATAATTTATTCAACAAGACCTGAAACTAATCAGGAAAATGTTTACTTGAGTGACAGAGCGAGGAAGCCAAG